ATTTAAGCATCCTTGATAGCAAAATGTTAACAATTTGGGGCCACATTAGCAACAAACTCGATCAGATTTTGACTACAAAACCAAATTATCTGTGTCTGCATTTGGTTATAGATTTGACAAAGCCTGTTGCAGATTGATGGCAACAAAAATCGAGCAGCTTGCTAGAATCAGGTTCTGCTCTCAATCTGTACTCAATCTTTGTCAGGACTTTATCATCTTACGCAGGACTTTGTTCGATTTCTGCAAAATTGGGAAGCGTTACTTTTTCCATTACTTTTTATAATAAACATAACATTACAATTTTTTATAACTAAATGCTAAGGTGCTAAGGTTGGAAAAGTCGACTTTTTCGACTTTAGCGATCGACAATCTTAGCGTTTAGTTATAAAAAATTGCAACGTCATTATCAAATTGTTTATTATAAAAAGTAACGGAAAAGTAACGGAAAAAGAAACGCTTCCCAACTTTGGATTTCTGCTACCAATCTGCTGACAGGCTGCGTTCCGTTTCATGCATGATGCGCATGATATATCATTTATTTTTGTTATTCACCGAATATTATAGCATGTCTAGGGCTGCGTTCCGTTTCGCGTACAATGTGTATGATGTACCATTTTATCTTTGTTTGACACTCGGCGAAAGACAAGGATAAAATGATATATTATGTACATTATGCATAAAACAGAACACAGCCTAGCAGACTTTGCCATATTTCTGACAGCAATTTACTGACAATGTCAGATAATACAAACTCTATGTAAAATTTGTTGCCTTTCTGCAATCAAAAATTGATAGCAGGCCCTGTTCAAATCTGTCTCCGCAGACTTTGTTATCAAAGATTAAAGATCTAGCTTCGATCGTTATAGGCATTTAATTTCTAATTCGTACTGATTGTATTTTTACATATACAATCTAAAATAAGATTCTTGTTTTAAAAAAATGTATTATAAATTATAAAAAATAATTATCCTAATAATGGTTAATAATTTCGTTCAATAGTTTATTTAATAGTTTAATATTTTTGTAGAAGAAAAAACTTAATGTCAGCAAGAGAATAAAGTTCTGATTTATATATAGGCCTATCCAATTTGAGTCTGGAGACAAAACACAAAGCCATTAATGTAAAAAAATTCAATGTAAGATTTTAGGAACTGAAAACTGTTGATAAGCGTCACTTAAATGCGTATCAACACTTTACAGTCCCCGAGATCTTATCCACATTGAATTTTTTGCGTCGATGGGCTTTGCGATTTGGCTCCGAAACTCAAATTGGACAAGATGATATAGATCTACAAAATGGTACACTTTAATCAAACATATAGAATATTTTATTTTTGATGATACGAAAAAATGTTTCAAATAAAAGTAGAATGATTTTGAGAGGGCCGTATTCTATCGTATCACGATAGAATACGTCACATTTTTTTTTCTAGAAGTGCCACAAACGTAAATGTTGACAAGAGCCCATCCACTTCAAATTTTGATAAAAATACATAGAATTGATGCGTTTTCACGTGAAAATAAAGTGACAAGAAAAAAAAGTGTCGCTCTGCTCCGAAATATTAATCATTAAGGTTGACAACTATTGAGGTTAGAAAATCTGTCAGCTGCGAAATGCTGCGATATACCGCGGTCACATTTTCATGCTTTGTGGCCACATGCGCATGCGTTTTAAGTATTTCTCGTTGTTTTAGGTATTTGTCTGTTTTAAAAACATAAATTCTCTGTTTTAACCCTCACAATACCATGTTCAATTCGGTCATCGGTGCCTCATTTCTAGATTCTTAATTTCCTACCATCATGGCCATCGGAGGTTACTAGAATCCGTTCATGTTTTCACGTACTTAAGGTGCCTTTTCCTACTGACGCTCGACCACAAACTTTTATATATACTACTAGACTGCTAACTTGTTTAAAAAAGTGGCCTCCAATTTTGATGTAACATTATACGCATGCGTCGAGAACCGCTCCGCGTGACGTAATCTGCACATGCGCACACATTAGCACACTATTTTGACAGGTTAACCAATGTAACAGTATTAAAATCACTAAATACTTATTTTCATAATCCAGCTATTATAAATTATTTTAATTTATAAGAAATTAAATAAGATCGCACTTTTTATACATGTTTATTAATATTCAATTGTCTTTTCAATATCTTTACCTTTTTACTTGAACTCTTTCTCTTCCAAAAGAAACAATATTTTTCGCTATAAGATCACACCTCTTTTATAAGATTATACGTTTAGCATGTGAACAATTGATGCAAAATACAGCCATACTGCATTCCTTTGGGTATATTTGTGACGTATGCGCAGAATTACCATACAATTTCGGGGCGTATTTCACATAAGCTTGTTCTAAAGAGTTAGCAGTCTAGTAGTATATATAGAAGTCTGTGTGCTCGATGCACATTTTCAGCGTCAAAATAAGGGAGCATTTAAATTGACTGTAACCGTATGCCGTATGTCGTAATCTGTAAGAATTGACTAATCACAGTCAAGTATTCCCCTCTCATTCGACGGTGAAAAGGGAATACTCAACATGATTGGTCAATTTTTACAGATTACGGCATACAGTTATGGCACAGTACATACAGTAGCGCAATTCCCAATCGGTACCTTTGATGTTAGTGTTGGCCAAAATGAAGTGCGCATGCGTGAAATAAGCAAGTTGCCATGGTTACGACCTAACTTCTTTCTCTTTTCGCTCTGTCAAACCTCACTAGATTTATTCGAGTCGTACTCCAACAAATGCGTTGGAGTGAGTAAGAGCTGTTATAGGAGCATATTAGAGCATGCAACGTATACAAACGATTAAACCTACTATTACAATGAAATAATCTAAACATAATGAAAATTAATAAAAATAAATTGTAAACATATTGAATAATAAAGAGAAAATGTAGAAAAATATTAGGAAAAATATTAAATTAACTTAAAAATGTATTTGTATAAAGAAATATTATGTAATTATAGTATATATTTATGAAAACGTTATGAGAAAGCTGAGAGATATACAAGAAATTTATATACATGTATGTGCAAAAAATAAATTTAGAATAGAATAAATAAAAAGAAATCCTTTTTGGTTGATTTTCTATGTTACTTTTTGTTCACTTTTTCACTTTATCACTTTTTCACAAAAATTAGAAACATTTTATCATCAAAAATAAAATATTCTATATGTTTGATTAAAGTGTACCACTTTGTATATCAGGCCTGTCCAATTTGAGCTTCGGAGCCAAAACGCAAAGCCATCGATGCAAACAATTCAATGTGGGTAAGATTTCGGGGACTGTAACCAATCTCTCGAGATTTCTCACACAATATTTCACCAAATGGACAATACACGTAATACTTTCCTCTAAATTTCTACTCTGAACCATATATGCTTGAAAGGCAAATGTTTAAGTGGAACATTGAAACGCTTATTTAAATAGAGAAAGAAAGAGAGAGAACAATAAAAAAAGGGAGGAAATGAGACGGGGCAACTTGCTTATTTCATGCGCACTCCATTTTGGTCAACATAAAATCAGGAGAGTTGCGCTACTGGATATACTGTGGTTACAGCTAATATAAATGCTCCCTAAGTCACATATCAAATTGATGCTTGATATTCGTGTTACGTCCCGGGTGAGGACGCTGATCTAAGGTGAGGTAGCACGGACAAGTGACATATATCCCGGCAAATTCAAATTGGGATTATAACTGTTACATTTAGTTAAATGAGAAAGAGTCTCTAGGCCGAGTGGAAACTTATGGAGCCTCTTCTCAATAATAATTGAAGCTTAGGTAATTTATTTAATGTTGACTTGATGTTAACATAGTCATGAAACATGAAGGTTAAAGTAACGTTAGATTGGTTGACAAAGCAACATACTTTTAATTTGTCGATATGATAGATGACATTGATCAAGAAAATGATTAAGGAGAAAGAGGGTATCGCTTTTGATACAATTTATTAAAATAAATTAAAATATAGCTGTAAGGTGAAATAAGTATTATATTAAATAAGTCCAATAATAATGATGGAATATGAAATGACAGTATGTGTGAAAATAAGTATAAATTGCATATATAAGGTGTAGTAAAAAGAAATCTATTATTTTTCCAATAGATGGCTTTAGTAATCTGTATCTCGCGTTGTATAAATGCGATCGGGTTACGCCAAATGGCGTTAGAAAGATAAGATTTCGTACTAAAAAAACTTCTCAGACAGTTTTGTAATTGCTTGAGTCAGTATTGTTTGAGCGCGTGTCAAAGATGGACACCAACAAAGAGAAAATACGCCATATTTTACAGTTTTTCTTCGATAAAGGCGAAAACGCAAGCCAGGCGGCTGAAAATGTGAATAGTGTTTATGGTCCTGATACTGTAACAGTCAATATCGCGCAATTTTGGTTTCGTCGATTCCGTTCCGGTAATTTTGATGTCAAAGATGCACCACGCTCTGGAAGGTCAATTGTCGAAAATGTCGATAAAATAATGGAAATCGTCGAGTCCGACCGTCATGTAAGCACTGTTTCGATTGCCCAGGAGCTAAACATTGCACAAAAAACCGTTTGGAACCATTTAAATAAGGCTGGATACAAAAAGAAGCTCGATGTATGGGTGCCACACGAGTTAACGCAAAAAAACCTCATGGACCGAATTTCCATCTGCGAATCGCTGCTGAATCGCAACAAAATCGACCCATTTCTGAAGCGAATGGTTACTGGTGATGAAAAGTGGGTCACTTACGACAACGTCAAGCAAAAACGGTCGTGGTCGAATCGCGATGAGCCGGCGCAAACGGTGGCCAAGCCAGGATTGACGATCAGGAAGGTTTTGCTGTGTGTTTGGTGGGATTGGCAGGGAATCATCTACTATGAGCTGCTCCCCTACGGCCAAACTCTTAATTCGGACCTGTACTGTCAACAATTGGACCGTCTGAAAGAAGCAATCGCCCAGAAGCGGCCAGCTTTGGCCAATAGGAGAGGAATTGTGTTCCATCAAGACAACGCCAGGCCACACACATCGATAATGACTCGCCAGAAGCTCCGGGAGCTTGGTTGGGAGGTTCTTATGCATCCATTTTATAGTCCGGACCTGGCACCAAGTGATTACCACCTGTTCCTGTCTATGGCGAATGATTTTGCTGGTGAAAAATTCGCCTCAAGAGAAGCTTGTGAAAATCGACTGTCCCAGTTTTTTGCCAATAGGGACGAGGGTTTCTATGAGAGAGGCATAATGAAATTACCTTCAAAATGGCAACAAGTTATCGAACAAAACGGTGCATATTTGATCTAAATCGGATCATTCTAACTATGCTAAATAAAGTCTTCAATTTAATGCAAAAATAATAGATTTCTTTTTATTACACCTTATACAATATTTAATAATGGATAATTAACATAGGCTATGATAATTGAGCATTATAGAAAGTTCAGCTGATACATTAAATGAATATAATAAAATAATTCATCTCCATCTACTATCTGATATAATTGGAATAGTAAATATAACGCAATGTGTAGACGTAGTAATATAATTCAAGAAAATTCTAAAGTATCTGAATATTATAAAATCAAGATCTATTAATATTATTATATTTAATATTCAGTACTAAATAAAAGAATGAATAGGTTACCAAGAATAATAAAGTATATATATATAATGTATATAGTGTAAGAAATTACTAGATATAGACACAACAGAGATATTAACAGCGTCAGGATTGTGTGGCTCAGTGGCAGAGCGAAAGTCTCCAACCTATTCGGAGAGATCTGATATTTTTCTCTGTCAATCAATTGTTTACAACAGTATATGTATATTTGTAACAAAACTGAGTAAATATCGAAAAGGCAATGTATTATAATATTGTGAGAGACGTAAATTATCATAATAGAATCTAGTATAATTCGAGATAATAAGAAATATAACAGAGTATTAATAATAGATTATTAATATATAATATTACGATAATAAAATATTATTACGTGATAGAATATTATTTGAAATTTAGATTTGATATAAATGATCACGAAAAGTACAATATAATTAATCATATATATATATATATTTATATATTTCAGATGTTCTAAAGTGAAAAGCAGTTTTAAGCGGGGAGCACAGACTCTTGCATAATACATAAAGCGTAAGAAATTCAACTAATCAGAGTTCTTTATTTTATGGAAAGGAAGGAAACGGAGGATTTTAATTTGTTTATTTTCTAATGCATAATGCATAAAACATGAGGCATAAGAAAATCAAAGTTCTTTATTCTATGAAAAAGAAAGAAATAAAGGACTTTGATTGGTTCATTTTCTTATGCCTTATGTGTTATGCGTTATGCAAGAGTCTGTGCTCCCCGCTTTAGCATGAAAAGACATCTTTAAAGATACTTTTACTTTATTTTTATAGCAGTATCAAGAATCGAGTATCGATCATTGGCGTTCAATGGACTCAACAGTTGAGAGAGTGCTCGCTGTTATTGTGTATTTTTTTAGATCATCCAATTAGCATTTCAGATATGAAAGAATACAATCAATAGCAGCGAGCGATTACTCAACTGTTGATTACTCCGCTGTACGCAGCCATGTAAGTTTGCTATTCATCAATTTTGATCATTTAACCTGTTTTTAGCAAATAGTAAGCTTACGATGCTCGACACTCGACACTTGACGCTCCTATGTAATGGTATCTTAAAATAGTTCAAAAAATATCTCTAAAAATTCACAAACATACATTCAAATTTTTAGACCAAATATTTAAACTTTATTTTAATAATAGAATGTAATATAACAATAATATAAACCACTCAATTATTTGACAAAGCAAAATATCAAAGTAATGAAGCAAAAAAATTGTTAGATTATATTAAAATAATATATATTTGAAATATTATATAACATCAATCAAAAATCTTATACATCTTAAAACGTTTCAACTCACAGAGTCTTCCTTAAAGTTAACAATAAAAAGTATC